AGTCACAGAAAACAAATAATTGAGTGGTTCCTATCTATACGTACATGTCACCGCCAAGTTAAGGTTCGCCATCCATCCAACATTTTTCTTTCTATAAATCAATCACATTACAACATCATTGTGTCATGTTGCAAACTTGAGAGAATAAATAAATTTCAGGACTCAATTGAAAGGAGAAAAAAAATATTTGGGGAATCAAAATTGTAACTCTGAGAATCTATGCAGAATTAAACATAAAAAACCACTTTACATAAAGTTTACATAATCTACACCGATTTTGAATAATATAGTCCCCTTTAACCTTATTCGACAGGAGCTCTTCTACATAAAGAGGGGTGCAGGTGCAAATTTAGAAATTATATATATATTTTATAAAAAAAAGGTAATTTAGAGATTTTATATATTTTATAAAATAAAAAAAGGAAGTGTGTTTATATGAAAAGGGAGGTGTATTTATCATCACCCAATTATTTTCTCGAGTTCAGCGCAACATTTGACGTTTCATTGCTATGACCAAAGTTGAGGAAGCCCAGACGCGAGTAGGCCCAAAAGGATTAATATTAAGCCCAATAGGTGGTCTGAGTAGGTTTATTACAAATAAGAAATTGTAGTGAAGACTCGTCTATTCTTGTTAGATTTGATATGTTGTTTCTTTTAGAATCTTCGGATTTTGCTATGACAGCCAAAATATCTGAGTCTGTTTAAATATAAATTTAAAAGTATTTTTAAGAATTTCTTTATTAAAAAAATTCTTTATTTTGATAAAAAAAATTCTTAAAAATATTTATGACTTATATTCAAATAGATTCTTTAATAGATTGATTGATTGGTAACTTCTTATTTTATTTCATCTCATCTACATGAAATAATACATTATTCTTAATTAAAAATTTATAGAGACTACTAATGTTGTTAAAACTAACGATATAGAGTCATACGTCAAAGTCAAACTATGCTTTTGGATATTATGAATTTAGTTTCATGTATAAATTCCAGTCAAGGGCCATTATGAATTTAAGTCATAGTCTGGCTCCAGTTGGTCAAAAGAATATGTTCAGGAGTAATATAGAAGGAAACTATTGTCAATATAAAATAATAAATATCAAATGTTTCTAACTAATATTATCAGTGGTCATACCCACTTGTGCATTTAACTTATCCATTTTTTATTTCTTTTTTACTTTTGCACGCAAAATAGTTCTCACCCAAATGTTCGGTTTCTATATTTAATTTTTTTCAATTTATAAAATAAATTAATAATATTTAATTAAATGTAATGAAATAAAAAATGATTAATTTTATATCACCTAATAACTTCTCCTCATAAGTCACATTTTTGGAGTTGTGTGAAGAAATAAAAGATAATAAAGTATAGCTGACTCTGATGTTCATGTTGGTGGACTTTTGCTCTGTGAAGTTCTCTGTACCTCTCACCCACCAGAGAATTCCGCCTCACAAGCAATGAGGCCCAACACAGAAAAAAGTATAATTGGGTCAAATTATGGGCCACCCTCTCAGAAATTTCTTCTTTCTATTTTGGATATAATTTCACAGGCTCTCCAACAATTATCTAAATAATTTCTCTCTCACACTACCATCCAATATATTTGATCTTTTTCATTTAAATCTACCATATTTTATCTCTGTATTTAAATTGAATTTTAATAAATTTTCTAAATAAATTTATAATAATTAAAGATTTCCTTATGCTATAATTTTAATTCTTTATGGTAAATCCAAAATATCATTTATGTATTCAAAATTTATTTATTTTGAATTTTAATTATAATATATTTTCTATATTCCAAAATGTTTATTTAATATAAATTTTCATTATATACAAATAAACATTTATTTTATGTGATGTATGTGTTAAAATATTAGTTAAAATTTAAAAGGCAGTATGAGATTATACCGAGTATAAGAATATATAGTTAACTATTGAACTTTATTTTATACTTATTTTTCAACATAATAAATATAATATAATTTAATTCAATTCAAAATTTATTCCACCCATCTATTTGACACACTTATATTATTATAGCTCGTTGTAACGAGAGAATAGTTTGATTCCTAACATTAAAAATAATAATTTAATGAGAGATATATGTAGAAAAATAATTGTAAATTGTCCCACACTAAACAAAAGTTAGAGAAGTACTTGTCCTCTGCCTCTTGAAAACAAATAGATATATCTTACCTTCTTAAATTGGTGATGTGAAAACTGAAAACTACATGAAAATTTAATCAGAAAAATTGAGAGTTCATTCAATATATCACTGCCTAGACATCATGAAGAAAGTCCTAGCTGGAACTGATGAAACACTGTTTTGTTATCCCCCAAAGATGGGAAAAGTTTATTGTGTGACCTTTGCCAATCAGATTAATATGTCCCCAGTTGATATACCATGCTGTCTTGCAATTAATGTTTTTCTCATTCTTAATTACCTCCTAATTATTAATTACTACTTTGTACTTATTTAATGAGAACACTCATGATACCACCAAATATGTCTCCCGTATTATATTAATTATTCATGTTAATAACCTTCGGTCATGGGAATAATTATTAATTAAAATTTTATAATTGAATTAGTTGTGTAAACCAAACCAGCAATCTAAGGGATAGCATAAAATATCCCATTGCTGCAAGAATGCTACAACTTCGGAGTGTTGGGGCTAAACCTTCTTTTGCACTCTAGAATATACATAAACACCGTATCAAGAATTGTACTAATGTACTACCTCCTTAAGAAATATTCTCAAAGATTTGAATTATGCAGAAAGAGAGTATTTTGGAATATTTTGTGTATAATAAATCCTTCTTTTTCTACTATAATTATCATTACTATAAGAGGTGATGTTCCTTGGAACTGTGTCACCAACCATTTTATGGGTGAACAAATATTATTAAACAGTAGAATATTTTGTGGTTCATGCAAAGCAAACAAAGGTTGTGGGAAGATGGAACTGTGTTTGAATGTGGGCTCCTTGGGTTGGTTCGTCCAAGGTCAACTTAAACGGATAATTACAACAATTTAATTCTCTTATTTTCTTTTTTCCCACCTTTCTAATTGGTAAGAATGAAAAATGTGAAATCATGTTACACAAATTCAATTTTTCTAGTCCATCATAAATTATTTGGTGACTTTGAATTACATATTGTCTAATGATAACTTAGACACTATAACTTTTATCTGATATATATCGTTAAGTATTATTAATTTTTTCAAAAATTGATGAAAATTTTAAATACATATCATATAACAATTGACTGAAATATGAGACTATAAATACTTGATGTTTTTAAACTACATAATAATTTCTCTTGTTGTTTAATCCAAATTTCTCTATATATATCTTTAAAAATAAGATGAATATCATATAGCAATTAAGGGAGATTATGGACATTTATATTTCTAAACTATCTAATCATTTTTCACTCCAATTGGTCCAAATTTTTCTACATACCCTTTAGATAGGATAAGTGTTATAGTATTTAATAATTTTTCTCGCTGTTTATTCCAAATTTTCCTGTATACCCTTAAGTTAGGATATATTCCTTAGGCGTGTCTGTGAAATTTAGGCAAAAATTATGCTTCCTCATTCTCATAGTGAGCTCCATGAAATAAAAGCAAAGCTATCAATTTGCAAAGAGAAAGAAAAACAGGAAAAAAGGAAAAGACAGGAGACAAAGGGGCAATCATAGCCATCTATCTATACTGCAAACATCATTAGGGACCCTCCATCATTTTTCTCTTGACTGCTCCAAAGAATGCTGTTATAAACGTGAAACCTAGCCATCATCTGATTAAGATACTTTATGGGGGCATAAGATTTCCATGCTGGACCCACAAAGTGCTGTGGGTCTACTTCTTACTTCTTATATATGTGAACTACATAATTTGTGTCCGAGTGACCAATACTTTATATAAGCTCGGAATAGAAATAACACAAGGCCAAAATTAAAGAGAGTGGAAAATAATAGCACCATCCCAACAATTATTATTTTTTCCCCCTGCACCAGTAAATTAAAAAATTATTGGCAAAAAGAAGGGGAAAATAATAGTACCACCCTCAAGAATTATAACTGTACATTCTTTTTATTACCTTGAGCATGTAAACTATTTGGTGCTTCTGGTCCAAGTTACAGAAATTTTTAATTTTTTTTAAAAGAATATGATTTAAGATAAATTCTAGTAATTAGGAGAAGAGGTGGTGGTCCATCAAGTACACACAGCTTTGTCTTGCTTATCAAGCAACCTTGTAAAACTCTCTCTCTCTCTCTTCCCTTGTGTGTGTGCAAAACATTCATGGCAAAAGCATCATGATCAGCACTCCAGCTCAAAACCCATGTGAGTTTCTATCATCCCTTTTTCCCTTATTTCCATCTGGGTGTCTCACTTTCTCTCTCCCTTAAAATCTTGGCTTTATTATATGTGTCTGACATTAATCTGTTATGCTTAAATAATGAGACCTTAATTCTGCCTCATGTCGTCGTTATTACTCTAAGTCCAAACTTTGTAACACGTATTAAGAAGTGACTATTTACATCAGATATTCTATTAGTTAATAGTTTTTCCTGCTAACTTTTGCTGAAAGATAATATGTAATTAATAACTAGTGATAGAAACCAATTAATGTATTATAGAAATACTTAATTCTAATTCTTTAACTATGTTTTCGCCTTAATTTCTTTTCTTTAATAAACACCACACACACATGTATCTATTACCAGAAATATTAATCATATTTAAATTAATTAAAACGACTACTCTAGTCAATAAAATTTTTCTGTTCAAGTCAATTAAGAGTATTTATTATAAAGAATAAAATTATCTTATTATGAATTAATGATAAAATTATATTATTTAATTAAAATTATTATGAAAGAGGAGTGTTTAGTATTACTTTGTTTGGGATATATAAAAGAAGGAAATGAATTGTTGGGTTGGTATTCTTTTATTAGTAACAGCTATGTGGCCGTTTTGTGGCTTTAATTTTGCTTTTGTAGTCAAGGCTGAAAGAAAGGTGTAATACTAGTAGGATAGAGGGAGAAGAGAGAGGCTGGACTTTGAGCTTTAGTCAGAAAAAAACCAACCCGGGTTTTCTTTCTTTCTATCCTGTTTCTTTGCTTCTCTTTTTCCCTCTCTCTTTCTTTCTCTCTCATAAACCGCCTACATACCATGCACTTCTTAAGTTAGCAAAGAGTTAAAGGTACTATATGTGTGCTTGAAGCAGCTGCAGCCACCTTTTCCTTTATTATTTTTTTCTCACTGCCTTCAGTTAAAGTAGCTATAGCTAGATAGGGAATTCTGCTGTTTTCCATGGTTAAAGCAGGTTTATATCTAAATCCTATTGTAACTGTTCCCTCTTTCCTTCCTCCATGTTCTTCTTTATCTTATCCTTTCCGAATATTTTCCTTCTTTCCTGCATATTCTCATCAAGCTTCTGCAGTTTTTTTTGGTTTAGGATTGATTTAATTTCCTCTATGAAACTGTCGCGTATAACATGCTAGGGAGTTAGGATTTTCGATCATCATTTTTGTCTATATTCGAGATTTTTCTCTTTGCTTATGTATGCTTTCTTCTTTTCTCAATCGGATCATCATCTTCTCGAGCATATATATACATATATTTTGGCCTTCAAGTTACTGAAATTCTTCATCCAAGTTCCTTTCTTTATCTTTTTGGGGGATTTTATGTTTTGATGGATCTCAATAGGGTCTTGGATTTTGCTGTGATATAGAGAAGAATTAAACTCGGACATGCTCAGTTGTGGACTGTTCCATAAAAAGGGAGTAGTTGCAACATTTGAAGGCATCATCTGGTTACATCAAAAGAGATAGCGCAAACACACACGCGCACAGAATCGGTCACACGTGTCAGGATGAGTAAGATGAGCAACTTGAGTTCTGTAAGCAGTTCTGATCTGATAGATGCCAAGCTTGAAGAGCATCAGTTGTGTGGATCCAAGCAGTGCCCCGGTTGCGGACACAAGTTTGAAGGGAAGCCGGTACGGAAAATTAAAATATCTCAATAATATTCTTTCCTTCACTCAAAAGCCTTTGACAATATGAACAAGAATCATATGTATCATACACAAGTAAAAGAAAAAGAAAGTATAGCTAGCCATATTAGTATTCTTGTTGCTGTTTTGTTATTAATTCATTTGATGGGGTTTGAATTTTGAGTGTTGATTTTTTGTTATTAATTAAAGGCTTTCGCCCTCTTTACTTTCTCTTTCCTTTGTATTATTCTTCTTGCTCTTCTTATCTTTCTTTCTCTCTTTAGCTTTAATTTTGGTTTTTCACTTGAATTTTTCCATGGAGACTGCAGGACTGGCTAGGCCTACCAGCAGGAGTGAAGTTTGATCCCACAGACCAAGAACTAATAGAACATCTTGAAGCCAAAGTGGAGGCAAAGAACATGAAATCACACCCTTTGATAGATGAGTTCATTCCCACTATTGAAGGAGAAGATGGAATTTGTTATACCCATCCTGAGAAACTTCCAGGTGTGAGATATATATACAGTCAAAATATATATAAATCAAATCATCTACTTTAACTTCCAACTCTCACTACTCTTATGAGTGTTAATCAGTCTGTTTACATTTACATAGAAGTTTAATTTTTTTTTTTTAAATTTCATTATTGAAAGAAGTTTTTTATTTTTAGTTGAGAAATTTTTACAAGTTCTTTGAAGTTTATAACTAACCAGAATCCTAATAATTTTCTAACTATCTTATCCATATCATTATTTAATTCTCATTTAGGTTTTACTAAATATGTAGACCAAAACTTCTTTTGGTATTTAAGAATAAGAAGAAACTTAAACTATACTAATTACCATAAGGATGTTGTTTTTTTTCGGTTCACCTAAGTCGACCTAACTTTGATTTTGGGTGTGTGGTTCATACAACAGGAGTAACAAGAGATGGATTGAGCAGGCACTTTTTCCACAGACCCTCAAAGGCTTACACAACTGGGACAAGAAAGAGGAGAAAGATTCAAAACGAGTGTGACTTGCAAGGTGGAGAAACCAGGTGGCACAAGACTGGTAAGACCAGGCCAGTGATGGTGAATGGAAAGCAAAAGGGTTGCAAGAAAATTCTTGTCCTCTACACCAACTTTGGGAAGAACAGAAAGCCTGAGAAAACCAACTGGGTGATGCACCAATACCATTTGGGGCAGCATGAGGAAGAGAAAGAGGGGGAACTTGTGGTGTCGAAGATATTCTACCAAACACAGCCAAGGCAGTGCAATTGGTCAGATAGAAGTGCAACAACTGGTGAAGGAAGTGGAGAACCTAACAACAGTGGTAGAAGGGACAGTGGAAGTGGAAGCTGTTCTTCAAAGGAAATTGTTACTCACAGAGATGAGATGTCTGCTGTTGTTGGTGTTCCTCCAATCACGAGTTTCACTCATCATCACCCCTTGGATATTCAACACCTAAAACCCGATCATTTTAGCTTCATCCCTTTCAGGAAAAGCTTTGATGAGGTACACTTCACACTGCACACACATAAATATAATCATATATATCAATCATGCATATCATTCAAACGTGCTCCCTTAATGTGTGTATATATATATATAGCATCAAAAACATTTGATGAGACGTACACTTGCATAGTCATAATATCGGACACCTCTTTTAAGGGTTTGATTTGAAAAATTTAATCAAAAGCACCTATAATAGAAAATAAAATAAAAAATTATAAGAGGATTTTGAACATAACAGGAAAAAATTAATATATGTATAAATTAATTTTAGTTTATATTTTAAAAAAAAATTTCTTCTAAAAGTATTTTTGGAAAAATTTACTGACTAGACCCTAATTAATTGAACGTGATGTTTCACTTATATGGCTGACCGAAGCTGACATGATTCACTGAATTTCAACTTCCTTTTGTTGAAATTCAAATTTTCTTCTGCACCAAAAAGGTGAAACTAAAACATGAAAGGGTTAAGGTAACTGCTGATATAGCCATATTGCTTGCACACACCGCATGAAATTGTACCTGAATCATAAATCAGTATCAACCAACCAGAAGCTGTTTACCTACCACAGAAGGCAACACCCACACGAGTTGATACAACGAAGGAAACAAAGTTAAAGCTAATTAAAGTTGATAATTGACTTGGCATCTAGCTAGTTAGAAAATCGGTGATATATGTATATAATATAGTCTTTTTGGCCTCTTTTTTTATTACCGATTTCCTCATTTTTGTTTTGTTGCATACTTTACCAAAAACGTGAGTTTTCCCAAAGAGTATATACATAAAATGAAACAAAACAACAATTTATAACACGTTAAAGTGCAACAAATACAAGTTTAACAGTATCTAGCTAGTCAGAAAATTGGTGTATATGTATATGATATAGTCTTTTTTCATTCTTTCGAAGAAGTGATATATATACTACTTCTGATATACTTTACACAATCATTTGTGTCTTATAAAAAGAACCGAAATATTAATAGTGAAATATATATGATGGTGGACAATGCAGGTTGGAATAGGAGAGGCTTCCACAGCAAGAGAAGTGGTGCAAGCATCAGGTTCATGTGAAGAAGTGCATGAAAGGCAACGACCACAACATGTAGCTCATCATCATCAACAACAACATCAACAGCATCAGCATGCTCATCATCAGATTTCAAACTCAGCTTTTCATATCAGTAGGCCGTCACATCCCATCTCTACAATTATCTCCCCGCCTCCCCTCCATCACACATCCATCATTCTTGATGACAACTCTTACCATGTCTCTAGAATAATGCTCCAAAATGAAAATTTCCAGGTAATCACCACTCAAATCCCACCTCTTAAACATGATTATATGCATGATTGTAAATTTCTTCCTTTTCAATTTCATTATTGAGAAGTATTATAGCTAGCTAATACCTAAATAGTAGTGACAATAATAAAAAAAAGAGTAAAAGTGCATTTGGATAGACATTTTAACTGAGGGTAATTGAAGATTAAAGATATATATACATTTCATTTGGGTTGTATATGGAGTAGAAGGAAGAGAGAAACTGGAGAGAAAAAAAGAAACAGAAGAGAAAACCAAAAAAAAAAAAAGTAAAACTGACGTAATAAGTGATATGGTAACAAAGAAACAAAAAGATACGAAAAGGAGTTAAAAGATAGATAAAAAAGTAAATAAATAATTATATTTAAACTACATATGCTGATAAAAAAAAAAATTGAACTATTATTTAATAAAAGCTGTTAATAAGAGTTTATACCATGAATTTTACTGTAAAATTATAACTTATTAAAATAAGATAAGAGGAACTTATTCTAATACTTTTTTTTATTAATTTTATTAAAATAACATAAATAAAAAAAAAAGCTTATGACAAGGCATAAATCACTTTCATAAACGCGAATAAACTCCATAATTTTTTCTTGAAACTCCATAAAAGGTCAATATATGATAGCTTAATTGGGATTAAAAAACTTAAGAAAGATTATTATTATTATTATTATTATTATTATTATTATTATTATAAAGAAAAGAAAAGGTAAGTTGAGTAGTGGAAATAAAACAAGTCATCTTAGCATGTGAAAATCCAAAGGAGTGAGTCTGCATGGTATTGTGCATGAGTCAGACTCAATAACTAAGGTTAGCTTTTGTGAGAGTGCTTGGTAAATCACAGGCATGAAACTGTCTTTTCACTTTTTGAATATTGTTCAACACGATGATTATTAAGATGTGTGTTTTGAATTTGATTGTTGACCTTGGAAATGCATCTATGGTACACATGGCAGCAACAGCAGCAACAACATCATCATAAGCTTGGAGGAAGGTCTGCGTCTGGTTTGGAGGAACTCATCATGGGTTGCACTTCAACTGAAATCAAAGAGGTAAGAAACAACTTTTTGACTTGGAATTATATGAACTTTGTGTGTCATAATGCCTAGAGAAAAGAAAAAAGAGGGCACATAATAAAAAAAATTAAAATTAAAATACTTTTTATTTTTGCTTTTTATATTGAGGTTAATTTTTTCTTCCCATTGCATAATAGTAAAACAAAACGTGGGACATCAATCGAAGCCGCAAGGAAGTTTAAAGGAAAAAGACCTTCTCTTTATTTCATTTTTGAATTGTATAAGAGATCGAAACTTCTGCTAACATCATTTTTTCTTCTCATTAAACTATTACTATAATGTTCATTAGTTTTCTCTTTGTTTCTGTTTTTTTTTTTCTTTCTTTATTCTCGTAAACAATAGCTAATTAAGATTGGGAAAAGTAAAATCAACTTAATCATATTTTATTTTCACATTACTGGTCTTGTTAGGCAAAACGCCATTTGATGTTTGACACTTTGACCACATGAGGTGGAAAGGCATATTCATGATTAGCAAGTTAATTTCAATTTTCCTTAATTATCTTCTTGTCACTTAAGATTATGATTAAATTAATTATATTCTACAAACCCTAACCCTAATATTTTCATTTACTATACAATTCCCTTACAGGAGTCGTCAATCACAAACCCTCAAGAAGCTGAATGGTTGAAGTACTCTTCTTATTGGCCAGATCCAGACAACCCGGATCACCATGGGTAGGAGAGGGAGAGCAAAAACAAAACAAAAAAGTAAGGAAAAAAAAAGAAAAAAAAGAAGAAAAAAAAGAGAGAGAGAGAGGACTGTAGAGAAAAAACAAAAACCACACAGACAGCATCATAGTCATCTTCATCATTAATGCTTGAAGCCTCCCTCAAGTTTCCTTTCAACAAAAGGCCAAGAAATAATATCCCTAGTTCGCTCCCCTTTTTCTTTCTTTTCCTATGGAGGCGAGTTATAAAATTTTGGTTACTCTTATATGCTGCAACTATAACAATGTGCAATGGGACAAGCTGGAAAGAAAGAAGAAAGGATAGAAGAATGTAAATCAAAGAGAAAAGAGAAGAAAAAACCAAGAAAGGCTGCTATATAGTCATCACTTCTGACACATGGAGAGGGAGAACCAAATTAAAGACCAAAGTAAATGTATCCTACTGCATGAAAATCATCACTATTTTGATTACTATACCATCCCCTCGTATAATTCTTATTATTTTATTGTTTTGAAATGTTTGTATAATTTCACTTTTCTTGTTTTTTATACCAGAAATATACCAATGAGTTTGTGCAAACTGCAAACCACCTTGTTAATTGTGCTGTAGTTAGTCATCATCACTTTGTTTGTTACATTAATTGTTCTTTATATTTATATATAATTATATTCTTCATATAGAAAAATGAAATGTCCAAAAGTGTTTCTCATTACGCTTCACTTTCTACTTCTTTTCACATTTTTGAAAGGTTTGGGGAGGAATCACGTAGCTTTCGCTTTCTCTTTTAAAAATATATATTACCGAGAACTTTACGTCGAACCTCACGAGATAAAAAAAAATTCCCAGGTTAAGTTACTATCGTGGTGCAAATTAGAACTGTCAGTCACAAAAATATGTGCATGATGAAAATAGAAGAGAGTGGATCGATAAAAATAAATAAATAAATAAATGGGGGAGTGGATAGGAGAAAAAAAATCAACTACTTAATTAAATTTCTCAACGTGTTTATCGAATCCACTTTTCACGAGGTTTAAGATATATAACCCAGTAATAATATGTTTAATGGTTTAATTTGTATATTTTTAAGCAAAAGTCAGTTTAACTGGTTTTACAATTATATTTTTTAATCAAGGACTAATTTAAACATAAAAATTATAATAGAAGATATCACTTTAATTTTATAAGCCAACACGTTATAAAAAAAATTATATATTTTAAAAACTTGGTACATAAGAGGAGGTATATATGCCTTAAAGTACTATAAGAACGCCGGTTAATAAAATATTATAGTATTGAATTTTTGTACAAGATTTTGTTTTTTTGGCATCGGATATTATTGATTGTAGAGATAACTACACTCAATGATGTGAATCAAAACACACATATATATATATATATAATTTCACAATAACTCATTAATTATTTCAATCAGTTCCGTGCTTTTTATATTGAATTAATATAGAGGATGGAAGCAACCAAATAATTTAATTTGCATTTATCTAATCTCATGCACATCCACTACCATATAAATCTAAGCTTTACTGGTGCTGATATGTTTTCCCAGTAGAAAGAAAACTTACTTTAAGAGATGAAGTTCAAGAAGATCTTTTAGGTTTTGATGGGTCCCCATCATGGTTTTAAATTGCGGACCGCAACACGTGTTGCGGCCGCAATATTGCTGTTGCGGCCTTGTCCGCAACGGCATCGGACCGCAATTGCGATGATACTGGAAATCACACATTTTTCCGCAACGTAACGGTGTTGCATCCGCAACACATCTGCAATGTACCGCAATACATCCGCAATACGATAAATTGATACTATAATTTTAAAATAAATTAAATTATTCATTAAAATAATAGAATATTTTAAAAAAAAAGGAATTAAAATGTATAAATCCTTAAAAATAAAATATATATTGATAATTATAAATTTTTTATATTTAGTGAAAATAATTAATAATTTCACACCGCAACAGCCGCAATCCGCATCGCAATACCCGCAACCGCAGTAACTGCAACCGCGACCGCAACCGCGACCGCAACCGCAATTTAAAACCATGGTCCCCATAAACTGACGAACGATCTCTTCTTTGAACCGTAACGTTATGAACATGCTATGACTATGACTATGACATGCACATATATGTATACGTGTGTGTGAAATTATTCACTTTTAATTTAAAATGATTTTGGAAGTTTCACTTTAATTACTTCTGAGGGAATCTATGGACAAATTTGTGTCTGTTATAGAGCACGAGGGAACCCGAAGTTCAAATTTCTTGATCGAAAAATTTGAGTTTGATTTTGAATAGCTATACGTTTATTGGTGAGATTCTTTTTTCTTTTTAATTTTTTAATTTGTCATTTAATTTTTTAGAAAGAGAGTGATACTAGGAGACAGACACCTCTTTATTACTTTATTCTGCGTTAGATTCGATCTTTTTTCCTGCAATGTTACAGAGAAAAGATGAACTAATCCCATCTGAAAGAGAAAGAGAGAGAGAGAGTAACGTGCATGTTAATGCTATCTTTTCTTTCATGGGACATGCATGATAAAGCTAAAATCAAGATGAAGAGGGGGCAACTTCATTGTAGTTTCTGAAGGGAATAAAGAGGGAATAAGAAGACAAGAATAAACTTTTTAGATGCTTTTATTTCTGTGCTCTTTTTATATAAATGACTACGTATAACTCTTACCTTCTCTAAGCATTGGGGTATGTGTCTGTGTGAGAGAGAAATAAGTATATATTGAGAAAAGGAAAGACATGATCCATTTATATATAATAATGATATGCATCTCATTTATTAATTGCATGCACTAGAGTATAATGTGTAAGAGAATCTTGTCATTGTCACTGTTTCTCATATTGATCCATAGGATTAAGTAATTAGGTTTGTGTGCATGTTCTAATATATGTATAAAAATAAACAAGAATAGAAAGAAAAGAGAGATGGTGGGTTGGTGATATGAAATTAGCAAGAGGAAGGGTCTCTTTCCACATGCCATTTAAAATTTAAAGGAGACCTAAAAAGGTGATATTCAGTTCTTTCACTTTATGGAAGATTTTGGATGCTTTTGAAGGGAGGATATGAGATATGATATATGATATATGGAGAGAAGAAGGGTAATAGCAGTGTTAGGGTTTCGATCTCGGTGTGCCAGAGATTTGGTCCCATAAAGAAGTCGCAGGTGGAATGGTGGTTATGCAAAGAGGAATATAACAACATGCCTGTTTCCCAACTTTTTTGGATTCTTCCACATGGGCCCAGCTTTGGGCCTGCTTCCATTTTGAAGACCCTACCACTTTGGGGTTTTAATTTCACACCTTCATTTTTCCCTCCAACTATTGTTTATATCATATATAATATCATATCATATATAATATCACATAGATATGCAAAGTTGTTTTATATATGAACAATCTTATCCATCAATGACAAATGTTAACACATTCTTTATTAATTAAAATTTATTGGAAATTAAAAAATTTAGTGGACCTCGTTGTCTCATTTAATGATTTTCTCTCATAATTTTGTAATTTGTAATGAATTTTAACTATTAAGGAGGTGTTAATATGTGTTAGATCAATAGTTTAACATAGTTAGTTGTCACTATCAATTAGTATGAGATTATTCAAGCTTAATCAATGGTTTAGATTCTTGAATTTGAGTTTTGGATATATAGTTGTGTCAAATATTTAGAAAGTTTTATCATCTATAGTGATTTTACCCAATTCGAAAAGGATTACATCTAAAGGATGTGTGTGAAATAAAAAAAAAATATAGTTAGTTGCCATTAAATGTCAATTGCACCATTATGTGAGTTTTTAGATTCTCCATTTTCACGAATTCGTTGAGAAATAAAATGAAAAAATGTTTAGTTATGTTTATATATAAACAGGTATATGTAATGAAACTTTTTTTCATTTCATAAAAAAAATTGTAGTATAAAATGATAAAAGTGTAAGTAGTATAATTAAGATGAATCTATATATACATTTCATAGCTGTGACAAATTTTTAGCATGTACAATCTTCCATTAAAATAATAAATTTTAATCGTAAATTTTTTTAATATAGTATCATAGAGTAGTCCATGCTATCATTGAATAAATTTTTTATTTATATATTACGAGATAATGATTCTTGTTTTGCTAACAAAAAACTCTTAATGGATCGAAACCCACTTTTGTTTTATGGGTCCCACCCATATCAGGGCTAGGCCCACCTTTATAACTCTTAAGCCTTTCTGATTCTGAAATGGGTGATGATATATACACCTCCTATTTTTTATAAATACATCTCCAATCTCTTTTTTTTAAATAAAACTCTTAAAATATCTTTTTTAACTAAATACAATTATATTGATGGAAACGTTAATTTTAGCATTCCAGAAAGTATTTTCCGGAATAGTAAAATTATTATTTCGGAAAGCATTTTCCGGAAGTATGTTTCTTATATAATTCCGGGAAGTTCATTTCGGAACATTAAATTTAGTATTTCGGAAAATATTTTCCATAATTTTTAACAAGCACATTTCCGGATTTATTATTTTTCTAACTTATAATTTTTCAGATTCACACCTCCCTTCTCACCATTATTCTTTCTTCTTTGTGCACCCCGTTTCTTCTTCTTTACTTTTTTTCTTCGCACCTTCATACCTCCCCTTCTCCCCTTTTTAGTTTCTACATTATCCTCTTCCCTTTTTAGTTTTGTTATAAGTTGTAAGTGAGTTCAATATTGAAGGAAAATGTGTCAAATCATATGCATCTTTTCTTCCAAATAATTCTTCTCACTATTTGTTCCAGAAAGTGTTTTCCAGAATAATAAAGCTTTTGTTCCGGAAAGTATATTTAGGAATAATAAATTTTTTATTCTGGAAAGTATTTTTCATAAGTGTGCTTGTTACATAATTTCGAAAAATATTTTTCGGAATACTAAATTTAATGTTCCGGAAAGAACTTTCCGGAATTAAATAAGAAACATACTTCCGGAAAATACTTTCCGGAACAATAATTTTACTATTCTGGAAAATACTTTTCCGGAATGCTAAAATTAACGTTTCCATCAACAT